ACCTGGGGGATTCTAGACCACCGCCCCGAGGAAACATCACACAAAGGCAACTTGGGGGACAGTTCCTGGCCCGGATGCTTCAAAACCATCAAGGTCACGAGCGTCACGGGAAGACTGAGGGTCTTTCCTACTGGAGGTGGGGCGACCCCATGCAACCCTCCAAGTGTGAGGTGTCACCGGGATGGTGGGGAGAGCAAGGGGACACAGGGGGTTCTTGGTGCTATTTCTGCAACTCTTCTGTGAATTTGAAATTGTTTCAAAATTTAGAAGTTTTTAAAAAAACTTAATGGACCATACAGTGATCCGACACAGGCAGGGCCCCAGGGGCTTCGCGGCGCTGGTGGGGACCAGCCCGGTGCCGGTTGGTGCAGAGAGGAAGCTGCCGAGACAAGCTCCGCGTACAGGATTTGACACAGCACAGCCGTCTCCTCGCCGGGGTGGGGGGAATGCTCTCAGAAAAGGTGTAAAGCTCTTTTAAAAATCGTGCTGGTCGTTCTTTGGAGGCTCAAAGAGCAGGAAAAAAGGAAAAAGAAGCTGATTTCACAGTTCCTGAGAACTCAGACAAACATGGAGAATGCGCAAAACACTTAAACAATGGAAAGTCTCAGCTACCTTTCAATTTTTAGGCAGCTTGAAAGTCAAGCACAAAATGTCATTCTTCATCTTCAAACCCGTCCCTGCTCGACAGCCCGGACTTACACGCTCTCCTGCAGCACAGCCGTCACCTTCGCCTGCAGGTCCCTCTCGTTCCCCAGCTCTGAGCACAGGCGCTGGGACGCTGCCTCGAGGCGACCTACCTACGGCTGCCCTGCAGAGGGGCTGCCGGCCTTCAGGGGCTCAGCGATGCCTTCGCCTGACTTTTCCTCTAAACTGGCCGACTGGGAGGGCCGACTGGGAGGGCAGGGCTGTGGCCGAAGGAAGCCTTCTCCTGGGCTAACTTCGTTGATCTGAGCCCGCTCCCGCCCCCTCTCCACTGGCCTCTCATTCTTCCAAGGACGAGGAGACAGCCCCCTGGTTGCCGGCCCCTCAGGAAGGACCCGCACACTCACCTAACGACTAGAGGCATCTCGGGGGCCAAAAAGCCACAGAGAGGCCCTCCTGGCCGAGCCCACTCTGAGACCTGCTTCATCTCCCTCTGCCCTCCCGGTCACCCAAGCCCACTTACACTCTGAGCTGTAGCCACTTTGCGGGCGCTCAGATGAACAGGGTGGGTGGGCGGGCACAGGACAGAGAGGTGCACCACCCCGCAAGACACCCCTCCAAGGGCAGGAGAGGGCGGGGGCATCTCTCGGAGGGCGGCCTGGAGGTTCACTGACCAGAGGGCTCTGGTCTGCGGGCACGTGACCTGGCGTCCTCGCCTGCTGCCCCAGGCCCTGCACTCGCCGCCCCACCCCAGCCATTGTGCCGCTGTCCCTACCACTCACGTCCCAGCCTGCAGGTCCCCTCCTCAGGGAGGCCTCCCCTGGCCACCTGCCTCAAAGTGACCGCCCCTCCTGACTCGTGGCCACCTGACTCCTGATGTTCACGTGGGTTGCCCGATTCCCACACGGCCGGGAAGTGGGTCCGCCCCCACCCCTGCGCCCGCCTGCCCCAGGGCCCCACCTCCAAACCTACATGTTGCCAGCGGCTCTCTCCGTGGCCAGGCCGGCCACCACGCTCTCCTGCTGCTTGGCGAGGAGCCCCATCCTCTGGCGGCAAGCACGCAGCTCCTCCCTGAAAGTTGGAGCCAGCATCGGTAAACGGCTCCCTGCACCCCAGGCCCCCCGATTGGGGCAGGGCCGGCAGCTGGCACAGGCTCTCCTGCGGGCATCTCAAGCATTTAGGAGTAAAGTTTCATGATGTCATCAATTTGCCTTCAAGTTTCAACTTTTCTGTGTTTGAAATTTTTCTTCGCAGACATCGGAGAACACACTGCAGTGTCGCCGCCAATCGGACAGGAGTGGAGGGCGGCGAACCCCGCACAGATGGGTCCCGGCCAGATCCCAGCCCGCCCCGCTCACCTCGTTTTCTGAATGAAAAGGTCTTTCTCTTCATGTAGCTGGTCTAGGTGGCTCAAGTCCCTTCGCAGGAGTGAGGCCTGCATTCTGTCCTGGACGGCTGGTCTCTGCTTCCTCTTGTCTGCATTCTGCTC